TTGGCCTCGGACCCCTGAAATGGCTTGGGCTCTTTCATATGCAGTCTTCAGGCTCTTCCTCAACCAATCCAAATAGTCCTGGTGCAAACTGAGTGATGTCTGGTCCATGGAAACACCAAATTCTAGATCCCATTCTTTATGCAACAGTCAGGCTTCTTTTGAGCAGTTGGTTAACAGGGCCTCCTGCCACCCACTCTCCACGGTCCTTGCAGCCACATTGCAAAGAGGGTCTTCTGCCTGGTCCTTAACCTCTTGGTTAAGACATGCAAGCCTCCATCTCTCACCAGAGTGGGATTGCAGTATAGTTTGGTGACACTCATAGCAGTGACCCTAATAGCCTCTGCCCCTGCTGCTCCTCTAGCCTGGTGTTCCATCCCTTGGTACAGAGCTTGTATGCCGTCTGGGGACGATCAATCCATTCTTTATCAGCAGCCCTAGATCATAAGACCTTCTTGACATGGCATTTGCATCTTTGTTCCCCATTTCTGGCTAGTGCTTTAGGCTGAAGTGGAATCCAGGGAGAACAGCCAACCATTGATGCCCTGTGGAGGAGATACATAAGTGAGTTGTTATTGGTCTTGACCTCAAACTCCACCCCATATAGGAAGCCTTTTAGCTTGTCCACCACTGCCCATTTTGACACCAGGGATTCTATTTTATGAGTGGGATAGTTTTTTTCGAGTGGAGTGCAGTTCCTGCTGGCATAGGCAACAAACCTCAAATGTCTATCATGTTTTTGATACAATAGCCCATCAAGGTCGTCCCTGATAGCATCAACGTGTAGCTCACAGGGTTGGATCTGCATAGATCAGAATAGGGATTCCTCTTCATTTGACAAAAAGCCTTCTTGCACTGCTCTCCTTGTATTGACTTCCAGGACTTCCTGGATCCCTTACTTTGGTGGGGCTTACTCAAACATCTTTAGCTTCCTCATTCCTAAAAATGTCATTGTGAGGATAGGCTATCTTCACAAACCCCTCAATGAATTGCTGATAATAGGAGCAAAATCCTAGGAATGATTGCAGCTCACCCACACTTTGCAGTCTGGGCCAGGAAGTGATGGCATCAAGCTTCACGGGATTGGTCGATAATCCTTCTGTGGAGATAACATGCCCAAGATAAGTGACTGATGGCTGATAAAACTGGCACTTCTCCAATGACAGCTTCAACCCCTCATCATGGAGACATATTAGGACTTTCTCCAGGTGCTCCTTGTGCTATTCTAATGTCTTTCCAAAGATGATGATGTCGTCTAGATATATTAACACCTTGATCAAATTCACGTCTCCTCCCGTTCGTTCCATCAGTTGCTGGAAAGTTGCTGGGGCCCTGATAAACCCTGGGGTATCCGGCTGTACTCATAGAATCCCAGTGGACATATGAAAGCAGTCTTCTCTCGATTGTTCAAATGTATGGGATTCTTCAGGGCAGGTGCATAGAATGACTAAGGTATCAACAGTTTCAGGGTGCCCCACAGCCAGGGCCAAACGTCATATGGAGGGGTAGGTAATTGTTGTAAGGAAACCACTCAGTCCCAAATCCCCAAATCTCCAGATTGTCCAGCTTTTGTAGGGAAAGGTGCTGTCTGTCATAGAAATCCCTGTAAAACAGAGTCATCTGCATGCCTGAGTCCAGAAGACCCCTTGTGTAAACACCCTCCACTTGCACTAGCACTATGAGGGAGGGATCCACTAATTTGTCAGGGACTTTGTCAACTATCATTGGTACCTGTTGTGATGCCTCACTGCTTTACCTTCGCTACACCTCATAGGTAGAAATCCGTTGCAGAAGAAGGTGTTCCCACTGATTCTGCAACCAAGTAGGGTTTAGGTGGGACTTCACTTGTGGTTGCAGTGCCCGATTCTGCTGTCTGCAGTTCTTAAGGCTGGAGCTAGCTGCCATAGGTGAGCACCCAGTTGGCTCCTTCACTGGGGCCCTCTGTAATTTCCTGACTGAGCCTGACTTCTTGGCCTGTGTGGTCTCGGACAGGTACATCTATAGTGTCCTTCACCCCTGCAAAGATAACAAATCACTGATCTCAGCATCTTCTCAGTTGGGGTAGAGAAGTCCGCCCCTCCTTTGACTGGTCCTGTCGTGTCTCCACTCTGGGTTGAGGCAGCCTTTGCTGTCAACAAGGCCATTGCCTCCATCAGTCAGGATATTTGATTCTCCAAGGCGGTAAGCCTGGCATCAGCATCTGCAGCGCTCACCATCCCAGCTTCTAGGGGCAATTCTGCCGGCGAATTGGCCACACTTCCTTTGCATCTTCCATTGCCTCTTCTGCCCTCACCCTCTTATGATTTCAGAATACACCACGGTAGCCCCCTTACCCAGAGCCCTTAGCTGTATCCAGACTGAGTCTGTGTGTGAGGCATCTCACAGAATCTGTTGCATCTAGTCCAATCTACCTCAGCCGGCTCCATCTCTTCCTCAACATGATCTGACATAATAACTGATTCAGTATACCCACAAAGTCTTTTGCAGTTTTTCTAGTACATGTGCTCAAACTGGTGCATCAGCTAGAAACTGTCTCTGTTTGTCTGAACTCATCCTACAATATGCGGAGGTAGTCATGAGCCATACATGACCCCACCTAGCTTTACATTTCGAATGGCTTCTGCAGCTGGACCTTACAGACTCTCCGTTATCTTATTCTTCTTTTGTGCCTCTGGAACATCCCATTCTTCTACTGCCTGCATGGCTTGTTCCATCCAGACTTTGTACTCCTTTCCCCCACTGGCACATGTAGTTTCCTGTACCCGGTCCCTGAGTGATTGCTGCCAGCCTGTGTGCGCATGGTCACAATGTCTTCCATAGCCTTGAGAAGCTCAGTGATATGATAGGGATGTGTGCTTCCTCCTTCAGGGCAAATGTCCCAGCTAAGGGTATGGGCTTGTCCCTACTCCTTGATTCACTGGCTTGGAGGGGTGGTTGAGTGAACCACCTGAACTCTTACGTCCTCATTTAACTGGAAATTCTTATCTCCAAAGCAAGCTGGGCTCCTTCTCTTCCACTCCAATAACACAAGGAGGGGGAAGTGTCCAGTCCACCACCATATCCACAACAAATGCCCTCTGGTCTGGGAATAAAGCTCTACCGCTTGCAGAATATCCTCCTCTGTCCAAGTGTCCCTTGGAATCTCAGTCACTACACTGAAATAGCCTACTAGACTATTTTGTTCCTCTCACTATTTAGTAACGGTGGTTGAGTCCATTTTACTTATTTGGTTCAGGTCTCTGGGTGTGATCACCCCTGCTATGAGAAAGGACTAGAGTAGATCCCTGATGAGTCCACACTTGTAGAGCTGCCCCCAAAAGGGTCCCTCTGTGCCCTTTTCTGGGAAATTTGGCTCTTCCCCACTCTCAGTCGTGTCCTTTGCCTCGTGTCCTTCACCTGGCACCCCAATATCTCTATCACTGTCTCTTGCCTTGGCCAACTGCACATTTCCAGTCAGTCTCACATATGCCCCACTTGCTCAGCTCACCTCCACCATCCTCAAAATTATCTGGTCCCGATGCTCGTGCCTCAGCTTGCCTGCCGTCCCGCTCATCTGGCTCTGTTGTACCTCTGACTCTTCTGGCTCATCTGACTCTGGCTCCGCTTGCCTATTTCCCACCCGCCTGGCTCCATTGCGTGCTGCATTGTCTGGCTCTGCTGCTTTCAACTCCACACCTGGCTCCACTACACATTTGTTTGTCTGGCTCCGCTGCCCTCATCTTTCTCGCCTCCTCTGTTTCACAGGTAATCATTGCCAGGTGGGGATGGCGGCCATGGGGTCAGCCGGTAGGTCTCTTCCTGCCTCATTCTCTCCTTTTCTTTCTATCTCTCATATTTTCCTAAATCCTAAATCCCTGAAGGGAAAATCCCATATGGAAACTTTGGTCGGGCTCCTCGAGATACGAGAGTTTGCAGGGGGCCAATCTGGCATCTGCAATGGAGAGCAAAATCCAGCTGCTCCCCGGACCAGTCACCATTTACCGCTCTGAGTCCCAAGCGTCAGGAGATGAAGGCTACCTTGCGCTGCAAATATACCAAGGCGGAATCCTGATGCCACACCTACAGCGGAGAGAAGAAGCCAGATTTTGCTCTCCATTGCAGACATTAGATCGGCCCCCTGCAAGCACTCATCTCTTGAGGAGCCCGACCAAAGTTTCCAGCGCCGCTTCAGGGAGTGGTCCTCAAGAGACGAGAGCTTGCAGGGAGCCGATCTGGCGTCTGCAATGGAGAGCAAAATCTGGCTGCTCCCCAGACCTGATGCCATTTACCACTCCGAGTCCCAAGCAGCAGGAGAGGAGGGCTGCCTTGCGCCATTGGCTGGCGCAAATATACCGAGGCAGAATGCTGTTGCCGTGCAAATGAAAGTAGTGCTTCGCTCCTGCAGCTTCCAGCCATCGCAAACACCGCTTCTTCCTGCTTGTGCCGCCCCCTTCCCCACCGCCACAATAGCAACATTCATTCCGAACAGCGAGGGCTGCGCTCCTTTTTCCGTATTGCACCACCTGCAAAAATACGAAAATTTCTCTACAGACCACCAAAATTTTCTCACGGACCACCAGTGACCACTGGTGACCACTGCTTTAGATACAATCTTTCTATAGAAATAGACACTTTTAAAATTAACTTCTGGGTCCATTGTTCAAAATATCCTTAAACATCTCCAATGTTAAATTTGCTTCATCTGTAAATCAAATTTAAGTATTTTTCTCATTTAATTATAATTTTTAATTCCCTCGAGTGCCCAATTTTTAAAGTCTTGTCTTATTATATTTTTTTTAAGTAAATTCAAAACAAGAATATTTTTACATAGGAAGGATACTTTATAATTAATTCCAAAATTTTATTTTAGATTTATCTGAACCTCTAGTCTGTCTGTATGCTTGCACACATTGAAAATACTTTATATTTCTATAACCATTTATGATTTGCCAACTATGTTAGTTATTAAATAGAAACAGGCCTTCCTTTGATCTCATTTTTATGTTGTGCTGTTTTCTTACAAGATTTCCAGATCCCACTAGGATTCAATTGCAACTTTGATCTTCCTGAAGATTTTTGTGGTTGGACACATGACACATCTACAGGATTTACATGGGCCTTTCATTCTAGAAATACCTGGACTAGCCATTTAGAACCAGGCATCGGGGTCTACCCAGGTAAGTCAATTCATATCCTTTTAAAAGAAAAAATATCCATGAACTGTGGACTTAGGAAAATAAGTACTTTAATTATCTCTGAAAAACTATAGAATACATTACAAAGTCTGTAAACCCTGCCTTTTTGGCATACTGCTGTAAAATTATTTATCAATTCCAAGTATTTTTTATGTTGCTTCAATAAAATCAACGTAAAAAAAGTCACAGTGCTTTTAAACAGATATGATGTCTATGGTGTAAATCAGTATGTGGTATAATTCTCCTAATATATGTTTTCATTACATATTCATACCACCTATTATTATGTCTTCACCACTGCCGTATAAACTAGGCGAGGCTATGGAATAACAGCTTCAGATCAGGAATTTGAATTTGTGTCTCCCTATTCTTAGTCCTTAGCTCTTATATCTGTAAAGTATCATCTCTTATCTATGAATGTTGTGAATGATGGTTCAAGTAAAGCATTTGTTGCAGGAGGGATATTTGCACAATCAGAGAGGAAACTGAAATCATGTGCTAACTGTCCACGTGCACGTGTATTCAGTTTATTTGCAGACTTCTTATGTGCTGAGAAAATGGAATAGTGTGCTTGTTTTTGTCTGGGTGAGCTAGTATTGGTTTTAAACATCAATAATAAAAGTCTCACTTTGGATAGTGTGGATGCTTCTGCTTTCTGTGCATTCCTTTGCATGCGAATACTCCTTCAATGTGGAACTAAGGAGATCTTTTGCTGTTCTGCTATGCACATTGTCAATTTTCCCTTGAGGCTAGAACTTGCCTGGGCCTCTGTAAGACCCTGATATTTGCATTGGAGGCTTTGATACTTCTGCTAGTACAGAGACTTGTGTTGTCAGACAAAGGACTGTGTGAACACAATAAGGATTTCACAATATGAGTCCTTGTGCTGTGTGGAGGATCTAAGTTTGTCTGGTAGCTGAAAGTCTGTTTGCTCATTCTTCATCTCTTTCAACAAACTCCAGGATTTACGCTTTTCCTTCTCCCCATTGGACATAGGAAGAAGAGGAGACATTTGCTAGCTTCAAAGAAATGTTTGCCTAATTTCCATGAACAGGCATTAAAATTTCATACCACAAATCTGAGGATTTACTAGAAGTGGTCCTGCTGTGTGAGGGAAATCTTTCACACAATTTAATTTTATTGCTAAGGCATTAGTCCCGATCACTGCAACATCTGTACCCAAGGAGCATGCATATTCAATAAATCCAATTGATTCCCATCCCCCATTAGTGGGTCTTGACTAACAGAGAAGTGTTTTGTAACCACTCATTCTCCCTGGTAGCTATATGTTGGTGGTAATAACTAGATTTACTGATTTATAAGGCTCTAGAATTGAAGGATAGTGTTCCCTGCTGGGCAGAACAGAAAAGACGAAAAAATGGTCCAATACAAATTGAGTGTCGCTGATTAATTTATCTTTTAGGTGGTTAAGCATCAGCCTTTGTTTGCGATACTAGCTTCCAAACACTTCTATATATTGTATTCTGTAAATTATCTCAGTGCCTGCTGTAGGGTCCCAGTGCCTTGCAGCAGATTCTACAGCATGTTAAGGCCATGCATTCAGTCAGTGTAGACCATTGGCTTGAACTGCTGCATTTAATTTCATTTCTCCAGATTTGTTTGTTTGTTTGTTTGTTTTCTGTCTTAATTATTTTTTCAAATAACTCAAGGCAGTGAACATATACAACACACCTTCCTCCTTCCATTTTTCTCACAACAACTCTGTGAAGTGAGGTGAGAGAGAGAGTGACTAGCCCAAAGTCACCCAGCTGGCTCTTGTGACTAAGGTAGAACTTGAACTCATGGGATCCCACTTTCTGGCCTGGTGCTTTAACCACTAGACAATCTTATTCTTGCCCATGATTTTTTAGGTGCCCAAGGAGGTGACATTACGCTGTCTTTTTTGTGTGTGGGGTGATGTCCTGCAAGATTTTGGAAGTGGCTTTCCCTTGCTTCCTTCCCAGGGTGGAGAGAGAGGAACTGGCCCAAGATTACCTAGCTGGCTTTGTGTCTAAAGCAGAACTACAACTGAAGGTCTCTCACTTTCTAGCTTAATACTTTAAACCACTACTCCAAACTGGCTCTCTATTTTATGCATACTAATAAAATTATCAGCAAACATTTTGCACAGAAGATTACATCCTTCCTAAAGAACTGAGCCAGATAAACTCAGATTTGACTTTGAAGTGGGAATGAAATTCTTCTTTCCTCTATTTTCAGACTCGGGAAAAATAAAGCAGCAAAGAGGGTGACAGTGGTAGTAAGGCAGAAAGGGGGCCGGTTTTGTTTCTATTTCAGATCCTCCATTTAGTGATAAGAAGAGTAGCCCCTGGTTTTGCTAAGACATGTTGGCTTTGACCCTAAATTCCATTTAAAGTTTCCAAGATCACATTTTTTGTTGAACTGTCATGTTTAGAAAGAAAGTGAGACTGCTGTCTGGGCCTCTAGTGTGCGTTTTGGGTTGTTCCAAAGTCAAAGTCTCTGTAGGGGTGCAGTTGGAGAAACTGTTTCCTATTTCCAGTGTTTACCTCTTTAACATTTAAAATGCTTTAGAAAATTAATATCACAGAAAAACTGCGGCAACATGAAAGACTCAGACTGTACACCCTCTCCAACTTATTCTCTGTAATAATATTTAATTAATGTAATAAGCCTTCTGTAAGTAGAAAACTTACTTATTTTTATAACTCAGCCTAAATTTTTCATTCCATTTTTTCTCCCCTGACATGTCTCATAATTGTTCTCTCTCTTCCCCCCCCCCTTCAGAGTATGTTTGGTAAAGAAATAATTTGAGTACGATACTCATGTACAAATGACTGTTCCCATATTGAAATAGTGCTTTATTTGCATTTCATCATCTTTTTAAAAAGTCTTTATAGGTTGTGTTACTTCAGCCTACTTCAGTGGCAGGAGAACTTTCCTTCGAGTGAATTATTCCCAAATGCATCATTTACATTTTTCATTGAAGGAAATGAGATTGGAATGGCTATATCATATCTCATATTGTAGTGTGCTTCTAGTGGAGAAGGTTAATCAGGATTTCTGCATCTATCAAACAGGGAGAGAAACAGATGCTTGGGAATAACAGCACCAAACAACCAGAAGTGGTAGTGTAGTAGTTAAGGACAGAAAACCAAATACCTCCCTGTGTTCAGTTCATTATTAAAATTGGTACTGTAGCTACTTCTTGGTGCAATAAAACCCTTCACAGAATGAAAACCATAGCTTCAACAGATAATGAAGGGTGGGGGGGAGATACACCTCCGCACCTTCCGCTGCGACTTAAAGACATGGCTGTTTAGCCTGGACTGTGGGGGTTAACATATTTTAACATGCTTTTATTCGGATATTTTATTGTTGTGAGCCGCCCTGAGTCCTACGGAGATAGGGCGGCATATAAATCAAATCAAATCAAATAAATAAATAAATAAATATACATTTATTTATTAGATTCACTTAAAAAACAACAATAAAAAAGGCATAAGTATTATTTTTCTCAATGGATATTATAGTCATAAAAGAATGACAGATAGCACAGATTCTAAATAGAAGTGCTTGAATTTAGGCGTGCATGAAAAATGAATTGCATCGGCACCCTTAATGATATGAGGAGGACATGAGTATTCACTTAATATATATATATATGCTCAGAGGAAACCTTGTACTTCAAAACTCAGGCCTTTTGTGGAAAGCAGTAGAAACAATGGTGCGGGCCAGAGATATTTTTTTTAGAATATTTTAATTTGCATTCCTGTTCTGAGCAAGAGGTAGGACTTGATAGCCTATATGACTTTTGGGTTTGTATTTCCTAGTAATTTAGACAACTTGCTTCTTGCTTCTCAAGATAGACTAGAAAATTGATAATGTGAAGAAAAAAGAAACGTCCTAGGCATAGCATAGGCACAATGTGATGAAATGCTCCCAGGGAAGAGAGATGCAGTGTAGTCTTATTACTCAAAAGAAAACTGTATTGATTTCAAACTGAAGCTGAAGCTCAAATACTTTGGCCACTAAATGAGAAGAGAGGACTCATTGGGAGAAAAAACCTGATGTTGGGAAAGATTGAAGGCAAAAGGAGAATAGGAAGATGGAGGGTGAGGGTGAGGATGAAATGGTTAGATACTGTCATCAACAGAGGTGGTATTCAACTGGTTTGTACTGGTTCGGGGAACTGGTAATGGTGACTGCGACTGGGCCTGCCCATCTGTCCTGGCATAATGCCGTCCTATTTAGCAACGTTTCCCCCTCCCAAGATATTGAGAAACAAAAAACAAAAATCTGCTTTGAGTTGATGATCAGGGCATACGTTTCTTTGTAGTATTTCAAGCCTTTCCAAGTTAAATTGTAAAGTCTGTGGATGCTCAATAAAATGCTCCCATAAAGGCAATGGGTTGTACCTCTAAGAAGACATGTGGAAACATAGACAATGAATTAGATTCATAAAAAGGAAGAGCAGGCTCTAGCAAAATGAGGCAAGATAAATATTTGCGTTCCAGTAGGAGATCATTAAAGTCCATGCAAGGAAGCTTTTTTTCCCCCTGTGTCCTCTTCTTTCCTTTTCTTCATAGCTCTTTCCCTCCTTGCATTGGAAGACTCCCTAAATTATATACTTTCTTCACTCCATTTTTTCCAAGATAGTCTTTCCATCAGCTTCATGTTTCCTTTTTTAGCCCCATGTTTCTTGTGCCTCAAAGATTATCTCTCCAAGGGTGGAATTGAAAAAATTTAGCAACCGGTTCTCTGACTGGTTGCTGGGTGGGCATGGCCATGGGGGTGTGGCCTAGTCGGCTTTCTGCACTATGGGGGGAGCATTTTCACCCTCCCCAGGCTCTGAAGGCTTTCCTCAAGCCCCCAGGAGGGCGAGAATGACCTACCCCGGGCTCCGGAGGCCCTCTAGAAGCTGGAAACGGGCCCATTTCTGGACTTCCAGTACTTCTGGTAGGCCTGTTTTTCGCCCTCCCAGAGCCTCCGTGCAGGCCCTG